GCAAAAGTTTATGGAATTATCTTAGAAAATGACCAGTGTGGATATGGGAGAAACAAATAAAAAACTGAAAGAGTTGACAAAATGCTTCAAAACAGGAATGGCAAATTTATCAAAGAAATAGACTCTACAAAGTGGTATCAGACAGAAATATTGAAAATAAAAAATTGTATAAATTTTATAAATTGATGAAATGACCAATGTGAAGACAGGGTTTCTGAAACTGAAGACAAAATACTAAATTACAACAAATTACTCAGAAAAGCCTTAAAGAGAATAAGGGAACAAGAAATACTAATCCAGTAGCTACTAGATGACACTGAGAAGACCAACCTAAGGCTAATTGGAGTTAGAAACTAGAAGACAGCACACATGGAATAAAAAAAAAATTATTTATAGACATCATAATAGAAAACTTTCCAAATAGAGGAAAGATTTCAACATACAGGTAAACAAGGCTTACAGAACACCAACCAACTAGATGAAAAGAGAAGCTCCTCGTGGCACATTTTGGTCAAAATTTCAGATGTCCAACAAAACTAAACTAAACTAAACTAACAAAACAAAACAAAACCCAGAATCTTGAAAGCTGTTAGAGAAGAGCAAAACAATCATATATAAAAAGCAAAACCACTAGGATTAGGCCAGACTTTGCAACACAAATTTTAAGGCTAGGAGAGCCTGGAATGAAGTATTTCAAGCCTTAAAAACAACCTCCAGCCCAGATTAACATATGCAGGAAAATTTTTTTTCAAAATTGATGGAGAAATAAGGACATTATGTGAAAAAGAACAATTTAAGAGATGCATGAACACCAAACCAGCTCTCCAGAAAACATTCAAGAGTATCCTAGATGGAGACAACAGTGCCAATAAAGCCAAAACATCAGATAGAATGAATTCATCAAGCAAGGCAAATAGACAACAACAACAAAAAAAAACCAGAAAGAAAGAAAGAAAGAAAAGAAAGAAAGAATGAAAAGAAAAATGCAATGTAAGGAATAAATCAACAACTTTCAGTAATAACTCTCAATGTGAATGGCCTCACCTCCCCTATTAAAAGACACAGATTGGCATACTGTATTCAAAGAAAAAACAAAATCCAACACTCTGTTGCATTCAAGAGATCTATTTAATCCAAAAAAGATATTTATACACTAAAAATTAAAGGATGGAAAACAATATTCCATGTAACAAAACCACAAAAGCAAGCAGAGGTAGCAATTTTATATCAAAGTATACACCAGGCTAAAACTGAATGGAAGAGGCAAAGAAAGTTACTATACACTAGTTAATAGAATAATCTAACAGGAAGAGTTAATATTTATGCACAGAATACTGGAGCACATATCTTCATAAAGCAATACTGCTGGACATAAGAGATCAAATATACACCAACACAATCATAGTGGGTGACCTCAATACCCCACTTTCACAAAGAGAGAGAGATTACTAAATAAAGAATCCAAAGAGAAATGTTAGAGCTGAAACACATCTTTGGAAAAAGTGGGCTTAATAGATATCTATAGAGTGGTCTACCCTCTACAACAGAATGTACATTCTTCTTTGTAGCACAGAACATTCTCCAAAATAGTCCACATATTAGTCCAAGAAGACTGCTTAAATAAATAATAGAAATCACCTCATGTTTGTTATCAGACCAATGTGCATTGCAACTAAAAATCACAGAAGAAACTAGAGAAAATTATAAACACCTGGAAACATAATAACACATTACTGAACTCCCACTGGGTCACAGAAGAAATGGAGGAAGAAAGTAAAAAAATTTTAGAATCAAATGACAATGCCAGTGATATAGGAGAAATATAACTCCCAACCTGTCAGATGTCAGATATGCTGAGTTTCTGTCTTTTGAAACAGAAGGATGAATTCCAATGGACAATGGAGGTTAAGAGTAGGTAAAGGTTATTAAGAGATAGCTTCTGAGAGAAGGTAAGGTCCTCAAAGTGGGTTGGCACTGAGGCGTTTTGTTAGAAATAAATTATACAGCCAAGTAACAATGTGAGTACAACACGGATCAAACTGCTATCAGTATATAGGATTACAAGTATATGTGCTTAGCTAATATTGACCCAATAGGGAAATGAGTCAATAACAAAGGTACATGGAAAGAACACAGGCATTTTAGGGAAGGGATGGGTCCAGATGCTCTGGTCACCCATCTGGGCTACTGGTACCTAGCTGGACTTACTGGAGTAGGTGATGCTAATTATAGAAAATTTCAAATTACTCTTTCTGCCTTAGGGAGGCATATATACCTATCATTGCATCTTTGTCTTGGGGCCTGGCCTTCTTCAGATGTACCTCCAGCCACAATTTTGATGTCTTTATTTTCACTGACTTCCTTGAGATCCCAGTCCCTCACTGATTATATATTAATTTCTATCTAATTTAAACAAATCAGAATCTATACAACACAATGAAAGCAGTTCTAAGAGGGAAGCTTATTGTAATCAGTGCTCATATTAGAAAAATAGAGCAAGCTCAAATAAATAGCCTACTGGTAAACCTCAAGATACTCGAGAAACAACAATCCAAACCCAAACAAAATTTAAGGAGGGAAAGCATAAAGATCAGAGCAGAAGCGAATGAAATTGAGACAAAAAAATACAAAGAATCAATGAATCAAAGAGCTGTTTCCTTCAAAGAATAAAACAGATAAAACCTTAACCATACTTACCAAAAGAGAGAAAAAAACTCACATCAATGCAATTATAAATGAAAAAGATAAAATTAAATGACATTGTTGAAATTCAGAAGACAGTAATTATTGTGAAAATTTATATTCCAACAAACTTGAAAATCTTGAAGAAATAGATTAATAGACTCACATGAATTAGCAAAACTAAACCATGAAGACGTAAAAATTCTGAACGATCCAATAACAAAGAATGAAATTGAGGCAATAATAAAAGACCTACCAACTAAGAAAAGCCCAGGATCTGATGGATTCATTGCTGAATTCTATGAGAACTTTAAAGATGTTTTAACACCAGTACTCCTCAAACTTTTCAATGAAATTGAAAAGGAAGGAGTGCTTCCAAATTTATTTCTGAAAGTCAGCATCACTGTTCCCCAAACCAGAAAAAGGTCCAAATAAAAAAGAAAACTACAGGACAGTCTCATAAATGAACATAAGTGCAAAAATTTTCAATAAGCTATTAGTAAATAGAATGCAACAATTCTTCAAAGGGATCATACCTTATGGCCAAGGAGGTTTCATCTTAGGTTGCAAGGATAGTTCAATATATACAAATCAATAAATTTAATGCATCTCGTACAGAACCAAGGACAAAAACCACATAATGATATCAGTAGATGTAGAAAAAGCTTTGGCAAAATCCAACACCCATTCATGATAAAAATCCTGAAGAAAATAGGTATAGGACCTTACCTGAGTCTGATAAAAGCCATTTATGACAAAACAATAGCCAACATCATATTAAATGATGTTTCCTTCCAAAAGCAGGATCAAGACAAGGATGTCCACTATTGCTCCTTTTCAACATAGTACTTAAAACATTAGCCAGAGAAATCAAGCAAGAGAAAGAAAAGAGATACATACCAGAAAGGAAGAAGTCAAATTATATCATTATTTGCAGATGGCATATTCTACAGAGAAGATCCTTAAAAATTCACCGAAAAACTCCTAGAATTAATAACCAAATTCAGCAATAAATCAGGATACAAAATCAATACACAAAAATCGTAGTGTTCCTGTATACCAGTAATAAACTCACAGAAAAATTAGAAAAACAATTCCATTTATAGTAGCATAAAAAAATTAAATACCTAGGAATTAGCCTAACCAAGAAATTGAAAGACTTCTACAATAACAACAACTTCTTTTATAGTATTTTGTAAAAGAAGATTAAAGAGGACATCCCAAAATGGAAAGATATCTGTGTTCCTGTATAGGCAGAACTAGTCTTGTCAAAACGGTCATACTTCCAAAACTGATACATAGATTTAAAGCATTTCCAGTCAAAATACCTACAGCATTCCTCACAGAACTAGAAAAAAAATCCTAAAATTAATACAGAACCAGAAGAGACCCAGAATAGCAAAAGCAATCCTGGGCAACAAGAGTCTAGCAGTGGACATAACAGTACCAAACTTTAAATTAGATTACAAAGCTAGAATAATAATATCAGCATGGTGTTGGCAAAAAAATTCCATGGAACAGCATAGAAGATGTAGAAATAACCCTAGACACATTCTGCTATTTGATCTTTGAGAAAAGAGCCAAAAACATATGTTAGATGAAGGATGGCCCCTTTATCAAATGACCCTGGGAAAACTGGATATGCAAATGCAGAAGATCTCTTATCATGTGATAGGTTACAATTAAAATGGACCAAATATTCAAATATTAAAACAGAAACAATCTGATGGAAGACAAAATAGGTAAAACTCTTGCAGCCATAGGTGTCAGCAAAGACTTTCTGTACAGATCTCCAGTTGCACAAGAAATATCAACAATCTGCAAATGGGAGTATGTCATATTAAAAAGCTTCTGCATAGAAAAAGAAAGCAACAGAGTACAGAGAAAACCTACAGAATGAGAAAACATTCTTACCAGCTGTTCCTCAAAGGACTAATGTCTGGAATATATAAAGAACTTAAAAAAATTAGACCACCACAAATAAAAGGCCCAATTAAAAAATGTGAAAGTGAAATGATAGACACTTCACAGAAGAAACACAAAGAGCCAACAAATATGAAAAAATGGTTAACATCTCTGGCTATTAGAGAAATGAAAATTGAAAGAACAGTAAGATTTCATCTTCTACCAGGAAGAATGACAACCATTAAGAAATCAAATAATAAAAAATGTTGGCATGGCTGTGGTGAAAAAGGAACACTTCCATAATATTTATGGGAATGTAAACTACTAAAACCACTGTGAAAATCAGTATGGAGATTCTCAAAGAACTAAAAATAGAAATTACATTTGACTCAACTGTTTCCCTTCTAGGTATCTTCCACAAAGATCTGAAGACATCATATTACAGTGATACACGCCTACTTATGTTTATCACAGCACAATTCACAATAGGTAAGTCTTGGAAGCAACCTATATGTCCATCAACAGATGAATGGATGAAGAAAATGTATCTATACTTAATGGAATACTACTCAGCTATAAACAAAGATAAATTCAAGACATTTGTAGGAAAAATAGTTATACCTTGAAAATGTAATGTTAAGTGAAATAAATCAGCCACACAAGCTTAAATACTATGTGGTTTCTCTCATGTGAATAACTTAAAGTACAAATAAAAGACTGATGGATGGAAACAGAGATAGATGTTTTGCAAATAAGAAGAGGACAAAGACATCAAGAAAGAGTGTGTGTAGGGGCAGATGTAAAAAGTTTTAAGATGTGTTATATATTTATATCAACTACCCACAATGAATGTAATCATATGTCCAAACATAAACTAAACAAAATCAATAATAATGAAAATAGAGAAAGAGGATCTAGAGACAGAGGGAAGGAGGTGGATGGGAAGGGGAATAAATAAGAATCAAGATCTGTTATGTACGTGTACCCACTCCCTAAGATGAATGTAAACATCAAGTACTGCAAACACGTACGAATAAAAATAAAAAATAGTATTATTTTAGTGGGAAAAGCAGAATACAAAAAGCACCTGCTCTATTTGTAATTATGCAAAAATCCTTTGTTGGTCTTCAAAAAGGAAAAAAACCAAAAAATATTTACTTACAATGATAAAACTGTGGTTGATTTTGGGTTTTTCTGTTTTTCAGAATTTCCTTAAATGTTGTACTGTGTCACAGTAAAACAACAGCAGCAACTAGATAGGCAGCCAAGACTTTGGTAAGTTATGTCCCTCTGGCCTCTTTATTGTTAAAGACCTAAGGATAAACTAGTGTTACCTCTTGAACAGCCCCTCTCTCTCCTCACTCAGAAGCCTATCTACATAGATTTTGAAACCTACAAGCATTTCTAAAACCCAATGGCTTCTTTCTAAAGTTTGCATTTAAGTTTGTTATATGAAGTTTTGAATAGGATCCTATAGCCACGCTATTTATAAATGATGATCTGCTTTCTTGATAAGGCCTCACAAATATATTGAATCTCACCATTTCAAGAATACTGTATGTTTATAAGGAGAAAACATTACTAAAACAAATGAACTATTACAACTATTGTATAGAATGCATAGATTCTTGTGAGCTAAGTTGGGGATCTAACTTCTATTTATAAAGCTGAGTCCATGGAAAATGTCTTCTTAGTCTTAGGATACTGCCCCAACAGGCCCTCAGCAAACTACTGGTGGAGGGGGAAGTTGTCATTGCCCAAGATTTCTCTGTCAAAGCCTCAGACAAGGCCTGGCCTGCACAAGGCTTCCAGTGCAGCAGCATCACAGAGTTGCTGCTCAGAAAGACACAGTAGCTGAGGAGCATTCAGTTCTCCCCAGGGCTCAGTGGAGGTTCCTCTGTGTAAGAGATGTTCAGGAGTCCTGACATCCCCCCTCTCACAATCCCTATCCTGTCCCCAAACATAGCCTGTTCCTATGCTCTGGGCCAGCAGCAATTTGCAAGTCCACTCCAATATTCCTTGCATGTATGCAGGGATAAGTACACAAGAGGGAGAACTCCTCTACAGGGAAGCACCCACAGAGCCAGCCGTAGGACCAAGGTGACTACAGCAAGAGGCTGGAAAATTGTCTGGCTCTTGCTAAATTCCCTTGGCCTTATATTAAGGTTATTAGACAAAGATCCTCTGACCTAAGGCTGCTACAATGACACCATGACTTTCTCATCAACTCTGGCTTCTTTTCTCCTAACTGCAAAGAGAATCACCAAGACTTGGCTTCTCATAAAAAAAGAGAAGAAGAGGGGAATAGGAAAGAGATTTCCTGGACAGGTAGAAGCTAAAATCAGGGCAGCTTCTTGGCTGGAGTAATTCCTCATTTAACTTTATCCTGCCACAGGACTTTCCAGCAGAACCTTTCTCTCAAGCTTTCAGGGGACATGTCTGGGGGCTTCTTAGGAGTCTAGAAAAATTTCCCTCCCATACAGTGCTTGCTATTTACATGACTTACTCTATCATACTTGTAGGACTTTATGAAGCTTATGCCAGCCTCTTTAAAAGATAATTGTCCTTATTCTGTTGCATCCTGTTTCTGGACCTGGAGGCCTTTGGCAAAGGAAAGAGTCCATTGTCATATATTGGAAAAGAATGAAAGGATGTGTCCTTGTATCAGAGGCAGGTTCCCTGGCTGGACAGCATGGTGGTTTGGAGTTAGGTGGGGCACAGGAGGAAAGTTGGCACTACTAGACCAAATGTAAAGAAGCAGAGACCAACTCCAAAAGCTGAGACAAGTGTCACAGAACAAAGGGGAAGGAGAGTGTCATGGAAGCCAAAAGAAGAAAGGATTTTGAGGAGGAGGTAATAGGAATATCTGTATTGAATGTTGTAAAGTCAAGTAAGATAACAATAGAGAAGTAAACCCTGGATTTGGCAATGGAAATGGGAGTGATTAGAGGCACTGGTAGGTGCAGTATTTTAGGTTAGTGGGGACAAAATCCAAAATGCAATGAGTTAGTTGAGATGAAATAATAATAGAATAACTAACTCACAATAAGTGTCTGCTAAGTGCTTTCTATGTCTTAATTTACATAATTCTCACAACAATCTTATGATATAGATTCTAATGTTGCCTCCATTTTATGGATGAAGAACCCAGACACAGAGGATTAATAGCTCGCCCAAAGTCACATAGCTAGAAAGTAGCAGAGCTGGGATCAGACAGACTCAGGCAGTGTGGCTCCACTCTGTGCTTGAAACTGTCACATCGACATCCCTGCAATGCTGGGAAGCCAATAAGATCAATCACTGCAGACAGCTCTTGGAACCAGTTTGCTGAGAAGGGACAAAGGGAGCTAGGCTGGGTAGCTGCAGTGATTGCAAGGCTGAAAGATAGGTATTTTTTCTTTTTAAGATAGAAAATACTGATACATGGGTTGCATGCTGTCTGGTATAGTAGAGGCGGAGAAGGGTGATTGATGATGGCAGCTGAAGAGGTATTTCTGAGCTGGGAGTTGATTTCAGTCCAGGGCACAGAGGGGTTGACCTTTGATAGTTGGACAAATCCTCTGGACCCAGAAGAGGGGCAGAGAAAAAGGTCACCAAGGAGCCCTTTGGCAGGTGGAAAATAAAAAGATAAAAGAGTACTTGGCTGCTGAGTTTTATTTTCTCTGTGAAGGATGAAGCAAGATAATTAGCTGAGTCTGGGATGGGGAGAAGGGGTGGGTGTTTATAACATTACAGGAACAAGAGAGGTGTGAATGGCTATTCTGGGAGTGGACAGTGCAAAGAAAGCACAACAAGGTAAAAGAGACAATTCAATGCACCAAAATATTGTAGATCCTCTCTCTGTCTTTCAAATATTTTATGATTTTTATTCCATGAAATTTTTCATTGTAAATCTGCGGGAAAAAAAAAACAGGGAAAACTGTCTGCCCTTTCTCCCATTACTGCTGTGCTGGGAGTAGTAGGAATACATTTAGAAGTGATGAAATAGTAAATCTGAAGTATTCCAGGCAGATGCTTTGGGATCGTGGAAAGCTAATATAGAGAAATAAAACCTGGGCTTCTTACCTGTAGAACCTTCATGTTTTTCCTGTTTTCATCAAGACCTGTCCATTGCTCTTTAAAACATTTGTTAAGAATGTGGAATGAGAAATTTATATGTATCTGGTTCAATCTCTGTACTTTTCCTGGGATACCCAGGGGCCCAGAGAGACTGCTAATACAGTGTTTCTTGAACTTAAGCTTGCTGGATCCACCCCTAGAGTTTTCAATTCAGATCTGGAGGGGGACCTGAGAATTTGTACTTCTAACAGTTCCAGGATGGTACTGATGCCGCCGGACAGGGGACTACACTTTGAGGTGTGAGGTCAGTGTTTGGACAGGTGGGGGCCTTTGAGTTCACCTAGTTCACTACCTCAGCAGGCAGAGGATTTCCCCATATCTTACAGGACAGAGACTAGAAAGAAATATCTCAGATCCATTGACTCCCAGAACATTCCGGACACAAAGGTTCTTGTTTGGCTTATTATTCCCCTCCCTCTCTCCAAATCACTTTATTATTCTCTAAAATTATTGGGAAGAAATAATTCAATAAGGGCAATTAACACAAAGTGCTAAATATGCACACGATGCTGCTCTGCGCTTTTCACATGGATTAATTCAGTTAGTCTTCACAACAATTCTAACGGCTAGGTACTATTATTAACACCCAATTTACTGAGGGAGAAATAGAGTTGCTAAGTAACTTATTGAGGTCACACACCCAGGAAGTGGAAAGATGGACTACATACACTGATAAGACTAATTCTCATACCCACATTATTTCTATCTCTACATATGTCAAAGGTAAACATGATTGAAGCTTTAGTCTCTCAGATTTGAGGATCTTTGATATTTGAGTAATACATGCTCTGCTGGGGTCCACCATAGCTTATGGCTAAGGTCACTGAGCAACGTAGGATTATTTAAAAACCCCTGTTGTACCATTCTTTAACTGAGTGACCCTTGGGCAAGCCACATGCTTTATTTTGATTATCTCATTGATAAAATGAGAGGACTTTCTGAATTTTTGAGCCCTGAAAGTATGTAATTCTTACTGAATTTAGTCATTCCTTTCTGATGGATTCACTCATATCGAGCAGCTCCCTGAAACAATACAGACCAGCGACCCACAGACACTCATCTACTCTGGGGATATTTCCCTCATCAGACACCTAAGAACTCTGGCTGTAGCAGTTACTGATCACTGAGGAAGACAGTTTTTGCTGGCAGTGAGTTATATTCTGCTTTAAATGGCAAGAGATGAAGCATAGCTGATTAGAAAGATTTTTTAAAAAAATAAAACTATAGAGAACTAGGTAGGAACTTTTGGTTCCTGCCATTGACTGACTGGGAGGCACTGAGCAAATTATTTAGCCTCAACATTTGCATCTATAAGATGGAGATAATTAGGAGTGCGAGGCAGCTCAGCTAATTAACCATTACCGAGTGCTTGGTCATCACTCCATAGCTCAACTGCACCCTGAAGGCTTTTGATTTTGGTGTCTGCCATGCCTCCTCAGAAGGCCCAGACACCCAGCTATGCACAGAAGGACCTCCCAGGCTCACCTCACCACCTTAACTTCCCTTAGCACCACCCTTTAGTGTTCAATGCTGGCAGAGGGAGACATTTAATGAAGAGTCACAACTGTGCCATCCTCAGGCCTAAAGCAAGATTAAGTCTCAGATTCATAGGAAAAAAAGGTGGAATGGACTTAATTTTTTTCAAAACAAGGATCTGGAGAACTCTATGAATACTCACCTGAGCTTAACTTGCTAGAATTAACTTAGAAATCCCAGTGGCAATTAATCTACTATGTGCCCTCACTGGGACATTTATGTCAGAAATAGAAGAGCCAATGCAATCCTGGAATTGAAGTTTAATTTTTGTGGAAAGCCAGCCATGTTGCAGTCATCATAGAAGGACTTGCAAATAATGACTGTAGCAAGAGCTAATGTTTGTAGAGCTTTTTAGGATTGCCAGGCACATAATTATCACGTCACTCATAAACCCTAGTAATTAGGTACTGTTATCAGCCACATTTTATAGATAAGGAAACTGAAGCTCATAAAGCATTCATGATGATGCAAGGATGTGAACCTAGACAGTCTAATCCCAGAGTCCAGATGCATAGCAGCAGTACTACCTTTCTTTCTGACAGCAGTGAGAAAGACCAAGTCCAGAACCTCAAGGGACCTAACCCTAGTGAGAGAAAGAAATGAGAGAAAGGAGATGGCCACCACTACCAGATGTTCATAAAGGAGTCTGACTGTGAACATAAAAGAAGCAATTAATGGCATTTAGGAAGACTTCAAAGAGGAAGTGGCATTTGAGCTGAGTGTTGCAGCAGGTAAAGATGAGGAAAGGTATCATGATCAAGAGGTAATTTACTCCTTGGGGTACAGGAACAAAAGTGCCACCAATTTAAGTATTTCATTCAATTTAAAATGTATTCCATTTTGTGAACTCCTGTCATGTTCATTGGCTGAGCTCTAAATGCCCTGAAGCCTCAGATTCTATGGGCTCAGAGAGATTGCAAGTTGAACCCAACTTTTCTTGTCTAAATGAGTTTGAAGTGTCAACATGAAGGGTGCTGAGATCTCCCCAGGGTAGGTCCAGATGAGCATTTCTCACCATCAAAGTCTGGGATGTCTGAGCCAGGCACAAGCTTGAAAATGGGGGAAATGGGAGACAAAGATTATAGATAAAAGCTCCCTGATACTTCTTCGTTCAAGCCTCTCTTATTCTCTGTTTTGTCCACCTTCCTCCTAAAAAGATGCTTTCTCTTCGCAGGTATTCACCAATCCCATTGTTACTGGTGATTTTGGATGAAACAGGGCAGTTTGCTAACTCTTCTCTCTCTTCCTTCTCTCTCCACTCACTCTTCCCAATCCAAAACCACAGAAGTAGCCTAGGCTTCACCTACCTTTTGCTTCGTCCTCTCCAATTCTGCACCACGCTACTTCCCCTCCAAACGTTTATAACCTGTCACCAATTTTAAACCCTGAATATTTTCTGAATCTACTTCCCTTCTCTGGATCTCTACTTCTGGTTCTTATCATTCCTTATACCTCTGGCTGAAGTCATTTTTAGCTGTTCTCCCTGCTTTGGCCTTGTGCTCACCCAAGATGAAAGCCACCAAGACTTCCTTGCTTAAGAGCTTTCAATGACTCCTCATCACCAACAATAAACAAGGCCCCACGTGATCTCATGTGATCTCTCAGCCTCATCTCTCAAGACTTTCGTCCTCAAACTTCATGCACTGATAGCATAAAGTATCTTGCAGCTTTTCAGGATAGTACACTAGGTCATGAGCTTTATTTTATTCTATTCCATCTACTTAGAGATCCCTTCTCACTTGTCTTCACTTGGGTGATACTAACTCATTTTTTAAGACATCCCAGCCATCGTCTGGCTCAGGAAACATTCCTCAAAGCCTTGGGTAAGAAAGTGGTGCTATTGCATCTTGTGCCTATTATCTTACTTTTGAATGCATATTGGAAATATCTACTTGGGAATCTCTCGCCTGTTAGGCCATAACATTATCATTTTAGTCACATTTGTCTCAGTGCCTGAGGCAATATTCAACACAGAATAGATACTCTGTTAATATTGTTTATTGGAATCTAACACCCTCAGAGCAGGGAGTGTAACTTTTCTACTGTTGGACTCCAAGCAGCACCCAACAGACATTCCTTGAATGAATGCTGCTGCCACTGATAGCCTGATGGGAGAAGAGTGGAGAGTCCTTGATTACCCAGCTCTTAAATGAGCCAAGGTGGGTGGGGATGGTAGAAACTGCATGTCCTGAGCAGCACTCTATAATATGTGAAGGCATTAAGCTTTTTGGTAACTGTTAAAGGAATAATACACTGGCAGACTCTTATACTATCATTGTAGCCTTGAGCACCTCAAAAAGAGGTACCATTACGAATTAATAAAATTATGGGAAAGGGAGAAAGTTTGTGAAGGCTGAGAAAGGACACTGAGTTCCCCTAGGGGGCCTCCATCTGAATCCCCAACATAAGCAGAACAATACTGCTTACCCCTGAAGCTGCCCATTTTCCCTCTTTCCAGTGACTGCTTTACACAAAGCGTCTGCCACCCTTGCAGCTTGTTCCTGCTTTTGTAACTAGAGCATGATTAGCTAACCAGGCAACCGGGGCCACCAAGAGGAGCCTCTGTGGATTCCAGTGGATCTTGAAAGGGTAGAGGAGTCACATTTTGAACACCCACCTTTCTACTCCTCCAGCAAAACCAGTCAGGATGGTTGTAATGTGTTATTAGAAAGCTCACTCTGTCCTTGGAACAACAGAGTCACTTGTTGCATGTTTCCCATCCATGGGACCAAGCTGGAAGAATGGAGGGTGGGGGAGCTAGGGCAGTGGGAGCCAAGGCAAGTATGGCACAGGGCAGAGTACTGGGCCTTTAGTGTAAAATACACTGAGGCTAAAAGATTGAAACTAGACCTGTATCTATCACCATGCACTAAACTAAGATCGAAGTGGATTAAAGATTCAAATATTAAGACAGAAACACTAAACTTGCTGGAAGATAAGTTAGGTAGAACTCTTGAAGACACTGGCATAGGGAAAGACTTTATGAACAAAACCTCAGTAGCACGGGAACTAGCACAAAGAATCAACAACTAGGATCTCATCTTATTAAAAGGCTTCTGCACTGCAGGAGAAACCAACAGAGCTAAGAGACAACCTACAATGTGGGAAAAAATTTTTTACCGGCTGTTCCCTAGCAAAGGTCTACTATCTAGAATATATAAAGAACTGAAAAAAATCAGACCCCCAAATTCAAAGACCCAATTCAAAAATGGGCATCTGAAATGAACAGGCATTTCTCAGACAAAGAAGTAAAAGCAGCAAAAAAACATATGAAAAAATGTTCAACATCACTGGTCATTCGAGAGATGCAGATGAAAACAACGCTGAGATTCCACCTCATCCCACAAAGAATGGCTGCTATCAAGAAATCAACCAATAACAAATGCTGGGGGAGATGTAGAGAGAAAGGAACCCTTCTCCATTGTTGGTGGGAGTGCAGACTGGTGCAACCACTGTGGAAATCATTATGGAGATACCTCAAAGAACTAGGACTAGAGGTCCCATTTGACCGCGCTATTCCCCTGCTGGGGATCTTCCCCAAAGAATTAAAAGAATCATACCACAGCAATATATATGCACCCAGGTTCATAGCATCACAGTTTGTAATAGCTAAAGCTTGGAAACAGCCCAAGTGCCCATCAACTGGAGACTGGATAAAAATGTGGTTTTTTAAATAAAATGGAGTACTACTCAGCCATAAAGAATGAGAAACTAGAGACAATTGTAGCTAAATGGATACATATTGAGGTCAACCTCGAAAGTGAAATAAATGGGACACACATGTGTAAATACCGAATAGTTTCTCTGGTGTGAGAAACTGAAAGTGTAAATAAGGATTAAAATGATTAAAATGAATAATTGATAATTTGAAATAGGAAAAGGTCCAAAGGGGTAGGGGAAGTGGGAGGGGAAATGAAAGAAGGGAAAGGAAAAATTATGAGAAAAGGAAAAAATGGAAATAAAGTGTTTTTAAATAGGGAAGGGCGCACAGGTAATGGGAAAAAAATAAGAACCAAGATACATCACGTACAGGTACAAACACCCAATGATAAATGTAAATGTATTGTATACCTAAAATGTACCAATAAAAGAATTTAAGCCCTCTCCAAAAAAAACACTGAGGCTAAAGCCCCTTTTACACATGCCCCTTGAGCAAATGCCATTATTTCTGTGGGCTGATAATGAACCTTCACAAGGGGTTGGGAGTGAGATTTAAAGGACACTACTATAAAGCACCCAGTATAAGCTTCCAAAACGTGCACACCTCAAATGCAGGTGCTTCTTGAGGGGATTCTTTGGGGAAGAACAATCTGGATGAAAGCCCACCACAGTGTGCCGATTTTCCAGGGATGGGATGGAGCAGTGTCCTTGCCAGGCACAGGAAGAGTGCTGCTTCCCAGGCACTGCAGTCCACTGAAGGACTGGTGGTTTCAGATGAACTGGAGGGAGGAAGCTGGCATTTTGTTTCAAGAAAAAGAATCTCCCATTGTTTTATCAGTCTCTTCGCAAACTTTTCACTGTTTTAATCTGGATTCTTGTTCTTTCTTCCCTTCTTTCTTTCCCTCCTCTTTTTTTCTTCTTGTTGAAATAGACACTAGGAATAGCATCTCACTGAAATAGCCATAACTCTTAGAACCAGTAAATAGGTCTTCCTAACACTGTAATGAGTTGTGGCTGACATTGAATCACCAACCATTTTAAGAAAAACCTTTCATTTTCCATCTTTTCCTTTCCAGAAAGGTAAATGACATCCTGAGGGGGAAAAGGCAACTAGAATTTGAGAGGAGCAAAAGGGAGGGGAGGAGTTTGTTTCTTCCATTTCTGAGAAATTTAAGCAGCAGCAACAGCAGCTTCAAGGGTTGCTGTCCAAAGAGCTCCCAGGAAAACTAGGGACCCCATCTGCAGTTGGGGGTGAGGTGGGGCTGTGGCCATGAATTGCTCAGGAGTACAGAGAAATTACACCCACGAAGAGAAGTCAGAGCACATCCTCCTCCTTCATCTGGAGAGCTCTATAGAGGCTCTCCTGCATCCCTGTCCTCACTCATTCCCTTGCTTCCCCAGGGCATCGCACTCAGCGCTCCTAAAGTTCTGAGAAAATCACATCTCTGTGGATCTCCTAGCCTGCTACACTGTGCTGTCCTCAGTCCAGTACTACCCTACCAGGTGCCAGCCCTCCATGGTAGACCACCAGTAAAAACTTTCCTATCCCTGACTGGGTGCCTCAGGTGGCCAGGGTATGACGTTGAGTCCAGTTAGCTTTTTATTTGGTGAGGCTCTTGCTGGCCTAGTGCTGGATCATAACGGTACAAATGGGGCCATATGTGACACCCCAGCAGTTCTCCAGGTTCCTAGAGGCCTCACCCAATTTCTTAACCCTAAAGACAGAGAGAAGAGTACTCTACCTCCAGAAGATGATCTGCCCCAGTGAAGCCATGGCGAGGGGAAAGATTCCTTCCTACAGCAGGGCCCAGGAGCTGGGCTGAGTGGAGCTTCTGCTGCCCTCCTGAGTGCCGTGACTCACAGTAAGCTCCAGTGTGCTCATCTTAAATAGTGCAGGCTGGGAGGGGTGTGTGCAGCTGAAGTTGGCTGGCTCAGGTATGAGGAAACAGCCCTGCTGTGCAGAATTGCCTGTGGCTGCCTGCACCCAACCAGCCAGTGAAGCCAAGGGCCAGAGCTGCCTTTCTAAGCCCTGACCTGGTGAGAGGGTGAAAAGGAGAAGCTTCCCAGGCCCTTGCTTTCGGGCTTGTGTTCAGCACAGGTGTTTTCCTCCTAACTGTGAAAGGGAGCTCTAAAGAAGGAGATTTAATCTCAAAACAAGGAAGAACTGGAACAGCTCATTGTTGGGAAGTCTCCCTCCCTTCTGGTAGCTGACAGGCAGGCAGAGGTGGAGTCAGCCCTGGTGGGGTCTCTCAGGGAGGTGATCCATGCTGAAGGACCTGAGAAAGGCCATGAGGTGAAGTGACCAGAGCACCAAATTTGTCACCTAAGAGTGAGACTGCACACCTGGGTGGAGAAATCTCTTCTAGTTTCACTTCAATGAGAGGATGAGAGGGCCTACTTTTCCCATCTCAAAATTTTATTTTGAGATAACAAAAATATTCCAAATGTATATTATTTAGGACTACTGCTGTTGAAGGTGATTGAGTTAGCAAACGATCTCTAAACTGCACCCAGCCTTGAGATTTCCAACTAGACAGGATGCTGCTTAAGGTATAAGCTTGCTATCGTTGCATCATTCCCTGCATTCTTGGATAGGAAATGTTCATGACTGCTTGGCTGACTGTCTATGGTGAAAGTGATCCAGGCCTTCCACAGATTTACTCCAGCACTGGGAATAACCATAGAGTAAAGCTGAAGGAAGGAGGACTGTGTGGTAAATCAATAACAAAGAAGAGGATGATTTCACTGCAGAAAGATCTTTAAAGTCAAACAAAGCCAGGTCCAAATCGTGAATGGTGTTGGGGAAATCACTTTATGTTTCTTCTAAGCATCTCTTGCTGGATTGGTTGGTTTGAGAAGGGGTCCATGTACCTTCCCTTTTCCAAAGTAAGTAAAGAACAATGCCTTCTAACTATGAAGCACCCATGAAGACTAGATCCTTCCCAGGCTTGGGGAAGCTGAGCAGTGATTTCCATATAGTTCCTATACATTTTGAACAAGGGCACAGAGTTTCTGTGTAACCCCTCAGTGAGCCCTAAAAACAACAGCCTCACCTCAGATACCTCCTCCAGCCATCTGGCATCACTAAGGAAAGATCCAAGGATAGCCCTGGAAGAAAAACTTGACAACCCATCAGAGAGTCCTCCAGGTGAGAGAGAGAATGGCCAAAGGGCAGCATCTATCAGGAAGAGATAAAAGAGCCTACCAGCCACAAGGCAGGCATTATTTGACAAGAATAGAAAGCTGAAGAATATTAATCTGCCTCTGAAAAATCAAACAGACATTACTGTGGTCCTGACACTAAAACCTGAACAGCACTTGAGTCTCTTGACACTCATCTCTGAGGCCTTCCACTAATAAACACTCTGTCTTGTGTCCAGGTTGCTGTTCTTCTCCTCTTCAATAAGCAAAGGGCTTCTCCACAGTTCTATCTTTTTCACCCTCTTCTCATACCACACATATCCTTTAGGTGATCTCACCCACTGCTCTGCTTCACCTACCCCTATATCTGGAGATCCCCAAATCTGTAACCCCAGCTCATGCCTCTTGACTGGGCTCCAGCTCCACATAGCTGACTTAGTGGACATCAATAGTTGTCTGTCCTTCAAGGACCATGAAACTAGAAAGCATCACTGCCATCCAGTGTTCTTACCAGTTACACCTCTTGGAATACAGCAGCATCACTTTCTACTGTAGGGGAGGAGGGAAATTTCCTCTTTGTCCCTTGAAGGGTCATTGGAATAAACTAACAAAGATTAAGTAAGAGAAAAGACACACAAATTTGTTAACATCCAAAAGGAGAAAACTACAGCAACAACTCACTGGGGAATACCCACTGCAGGCTTGTAAGTACTTATTAGGGGACTGATTAATCCCAACAATAGTCTCTTTGGAATTTGAATGACCAAAAGAAAGATATTATCTTGTAGGGGAAATCTGTCCAGATGTGGTTACATTCCTTAGTCTTCTTTTCTGAGATAGATAATGGGATTTTAGGGAGAGGGAGGATTGTGTTCCCTTTGCAGTCTGCTTTTAATACAGATAAGGGAATTCCAGAGTTCTTTATGCTTGAGTAGGCAGAAGCAGTATAAACTCTCTTTTAGGTCAAAGGCTTAGCATACCCCTACACACCCTATTTTGAGGGTGTGATTCTGAGTCCAAACACTAAATTGCATGGGTCAGAAACCTCAGAGTTGCCCTATATTTCCTCCTCTTTTCCCCTCTTCATCCCTGATTTCACCAATTCTCCTGATTCTTCCTCCTTGATTAGTTTGCTAGGGCTGCCATGACAAAATACCACAAAGTGGTGGCCTATAAATAACAGAAATTTATTCTCACTATTCTGGAGCTATAAGTCAGAGACCAATTATTAGCAGACTTGGTTTCTTCTAAGGCTTCTCTCCTTGGCTTGTAGATGGCTCTCTTCTCCCTGTGTCTTTCAGGGTCTTCCTATTGTGCATGTCTGTGTCCTATCTTCTCTTCCTATAGGAACACCAGTCATATTGGACTAGGGCCACCCTAGTGGTGACTTCATTTTGACTTAACTGCTTCTTCTAAGGCCATATCTCCAAATAGCTCACATTCTGAGGTACTTGGGGTTAGTACTTCAATATATGTACTTTTGAGAAATAATTCAGCCCATACCACTCCTTTATGCCTCTAAATATATCCCTTCTCTCTCCAGTACTACACTGAAATTCAATCTCTCATCATTTCCTCATTGAATTAAATTAGTACATTTAAATAATTAAAATTATATATTAGCTTTGTTGTCCTGCTTTTCAGCTACTCCTGTATGTAACATTCTACCCTGTTCTGCTAGAGTGATCTTCCTAAAATGCAAACCCAAGGAGGCTGCTTCTTGCCTACAGTCTGACCTTTGTCTGCCTCTCCAGGTTTTTCTCTCTTGACCTCCTTTCTCACTCTGTAGAGCAGTCATGCTGAACCGCTTTGGATGTCTCTAAAAGTCATGCTTTATCAAGCCACTCTTCCTTTATGTATACTGCACTCTCCTCCTGAAATCTATCCCTGACCTTTTCTTGTTTTATACGTAAACTATGGAAAAAATTCCCAACCACTTTCATCTCAGGGGCCATGCTCTGGGCTGCCGTGTAAACCTGGTGCTGAATTGTGACTTTTGTGTTGGCTGTTTCCTTCACTAGATCAGCCTTAAAAATAGAAAAGATGTCTTATCCATCTTTGTATTGCACACACCAATAAGCAGTCGTTAAATGTTTATTGAAAAAATGTGTATTTTTCTTTCTCCTCACACAATGATAATACTATTTCCTGTGTATGCATATGTCATTGCTAGTTCATGAGGTCCTAGAGGACAAAAATGATGCCTTCTTCATTTTTTTTATTCACCCAGTCCTAGCACTAACCCAGACATAAAAAGATTTTAGTAACACTTGATGGATGGGCAAGCAGGGATGGAATTGGGAGTGTAATCAATCCAACACATTCTGGAAGAGATGGGTTGTAAACTTAATTGACACTATTAGAGGCAGTGAGAACAAGTTGCATCTGAAATAAAGGAACAATTTAAAATTAGGACAAAAGGTAAAGCAGATGTTTAAAACAAATAAAATCTTGTTTTCTTCTTGTGAATGTTGGGCAAAGACAGGGAGAGAGACAGACACAAATGTAATGCATCTAGAGTCAAAAGATCCTCTCACGAATTTTTTTTAAAAAATAGTACTGAAACAGTCCAGTCAGTTGGAGGTTTTATTTTCTCATTGTATATCTGTATATTTTCCTGGTCACTAGGTTTAAAGTTCCCCAGAGTCACAGCACACCCTGGCTGTGTGGGGTTTTATACTTTTCACAGAAGACATGAGCTCATATGATTCTTAACAGTAACCATGAAGGGAGTTCAGTGAAGGGAGTTTTACAAATAGGAAACTAAGTCTCAGAGAATAAGGGACTTGCAAGGTCAACTAATTTTCCCCAGGCCTTGTTTACCTGTTTTTATAAATAAGGTTATATTAATAAAAGATTTCACTAGCTTTTGAACCTAATTTCTAAGGAAAGACTTAGAGCTCATCTGCTCGTTTGACATTTGGTATTCTTGGGACATGAAACAAAAAGAGCAAGAAAAGCAAGCTGTAGAAGATTCTTCCACTAAGAGTCCCCTAGGAATCATGCTTCCTTGTCCTGATGCCTTTGTACAGTCCCTGCCTCCACTGACCCTGGGCTTAGAATATAGTGGAACATTTTGCTACTGGAACATTAGCAAAGATGACACAAGCAGTGGCTTGAAAAGTTCTTGTGTTTTTAGGCATGTCCTCTGTGGCCACTGAAGACTCTTCTACCACCATATGTAAAAGATGAGCAATTCCATCTAAGACCCTTGGAACCACCAGCCCCCAGCCAACCTGCCAGCTGACTGCAGGCACATGAATGACCTCAGGAAAGAGAAAGAATCACTCAGCAGAGCCCAGCCTGAATTACTGACCTACATAATCATGAAAAAATAAAATTGTTTTTGTTTTAAGCCACTATATTCTGGGCTGATTTGTTACATAAGCAATAGATGACTGATACACTGCTCTTTCACGTTATTCTATTCCGTGTTTCTCTTTGATGATCATTGCTTCGACAGCTACTTCTGGTGTCATTTCACTAATTATTGGTGGGGGCTGCTAAATCAACCTAATATGTTTAGCCATCTTCCTTCCAGATTGAAATGGCATCCCATGGAGCACTCACTATGCTAAGACATCACACACACACACACACACAGACACAAATACACACACACACACACACGCTTGCTCACACATTCATGAATATGCACATTGATGCCTCAGAGCTTTAAAAAAACCCCTAATTTTGCTATAAAATCTGGCCAGAGGAAACCAATCAAGAGGTACTCTCACCTTTCAAAAGTAAATACTACACCTTATCTCTACCTTTTCATCAATATTTTAGGTTTTCTTCCATATACAAGTACAACCTCAGACCTAAAAATACCTTGACATATCTATTACTTCAGACATATATCATTTATTTGTTTGGGGGCACATTCAAAATTCTACTAGCTATTTTGAAATATTTTATAATTGTTGTCAGCCATATTTAGAGGAGAGGTCTTATATTGCTCAGTAGACCTGGGAAGAGCAGAGAGCAAACTTCAAAGGCACTAACAAAAAGTGAATATTAAGGAGCTATCATTTTATCTGAGAATTTAACTTACTTTCAGTATTTACTGGTGGCTCTCTTAGGGAAGGACTGATTATTTCATCACTGGCAAGGCTGGGGACCAGTATTTGAGGTGATGCCATGCTTCCTCTCCACCTCCACTCCTTCGTCCTTCAGTCAAAAACCTTCAGCTATGGATTCCTGGCAGTCCTGCCCATGGGTTCACCAGTTCACAAATTTGTCTAACCCTATTGTAATCACTAAGTCAGAATTTCCAGAGCCTGGGTACAATCCTCGGTCACCTGACTCTAAATTCAATACTGCACCCACCCCATATTCATGGAAGACACTGCTAATTGGTCACAGGTCATTTTCCTGATAGTGTGAGTGTGGTTCCAGAAATCCTGTTAAAATAACAATCTGGCATCCCCCACCAAGCAATTGGAGATAGTTCCTATAATATTGGTATTCTAGGGCTGCTGTAACAAAGTACCACAAGACAGCTGGCTTACATAGCAAACATTTATTGGTGTATAGTTCTGGAGACTAGAAGTCCAAAATCAAGGTATTGGAAGGTTTGTTCCTTTTGAGGGCTTTGGTGGAAGAATCTGATCCAGGCTTTTCTCTTTGACTTATAGATGGCCATCTCCCCTCCTGTATTTTTTTTTTTAACCTTATCTTCCTGCTATATGTAGCTGTCTCTTGTGTGCCAATTTTCTCTTTTAAAAGAGATCAGTCACATTGAGTTAGGACTCACCCAGATGATGTCATGGAGCTCAATGTGATGGTACTGGGGTGTGAGTGCCTTTGGGACATCTTTGGGAATGGGATTGGTGTCCTTATATAAGGACCCCAGAGAGCTCTGTCATTTGCTCTTTGCCATGTGAGGAAACAGCAAAATTCAAGTCTGCATCCCAGAAGCAGAACCACATCAGAACCCAATCATTCTGGCACCCCAATCTTGGACCTCCAGATTCCAGAACATCTTGTTTTAGCAACTCAGTTCATGCTATTTCATGATGGCAGCCTGAATTGACTAAGACAGTGGGGCAAAACTCCTTGGGCTAGGAGTGTAGCTTAAAGGTATAGCACTTTACTAGCATATGTAACCCCTAGGTTCAGTCCCTAGCACCACAATAAATAAATAAATAACCAACCAACCTCATAACTGTGGAAGGTTCTCCAAGAAAACGGGTAAACATCCTCTTCCCTACTTGTATCTCTAGGCATTCCCTTTCCATCTTGACTCCAGCCTTAGCTGTGTTACTTAGTTTGGCAATTGGAAAAACAACAAAAATATAAGTAGATATGAGCAGATACTTCAAGACACTTGGGCATGAGTGCTTGCTGTCTAGCTGTTTTCTGTTTTCACTTTGTTTTGTGTGTTTTAACCAGTCCTGTGACCACCCTGAGAAGGATTCTAAGTTAGCTTATTGGACGTTGAGTGACATGTGACTAGTTACTTCCCTTACTGTGCTAGTAAAATGTTCACATTTCATTGCTGTGGCCAAATACCTGAGTAAAACAACTTAAAGAAAGAAAGATTTATTTTGCCCTACAGTAGCAGAGGTTTCAATTCACAGTTGGCCTGGTCTATTGCTTTTAGGCCTGCAGGGAGGCAGAAACATTATAGTGGAAGGGTATGGGCGAAGGAAAGGTGCTTACCTTATGGCAGCCAGAAACCAAAGGAAACAGGTAGTGGGGAAGAGGCCGAGAACCATATATGGTCCTCAAGTTCAGAACTCCATGATCTACTCCCTTCAGCTGGGCCCCACCTCCTTTTTCCATCACTTCCAAATAATGCCATCAAATTATGATCTCTCAATGGATTGACCCACTTGTTATGGTCAAGATCTGAAATGTGCCCCAAAAGACTCATGTGTTTGGAGGGTGATTGGATCACAGTGGCACTATACTCATTAGCAGATTTATCCATTGATGAGGTCAGTAGATAAATATGCTGTTAGGAATAGGGCCTGGTTGGAGAGATCCTGGCTCCTCCTTTCCCTCTCTGTCTACTTTATGATAGTTATGGGTTGAACATCTTTCTTCCACTATGGCCTTCCATCATGCTGATCCACCCCACCATGGACTGAAACCATGAGCCAAAATAAACCTCTCCTCTTTTAAGTTTTAGGTATCATGTATTTTGATAAGTGACAAAGACCACTTAACAAAGTTAGATCCCTTATGATCCAGTTACTTTTCAAAAGCCCACCAGCAACCAAGTCTTTAGCACAGGACTTTTGGGGGACATTTCAAATTCGAACTATAACAGTGAGATCAGAGCCGGATTTAGCTCAGTGGTTTCGCCACCTGCTGCACAGGCGCAAGGACCTGAATTTGATCCCCGGTACCAAAAAAAACCCCAAAAAACAAAAAACAAACCAGTGAGATCAGCAACTACTGGGTGACTTTAAATGCATAAGTGAGCCCAGCTGAAACTTCATGGAACACAGATGACTTGTCTCAGTTGAGCTCAAATCATAATGAAAGGAGCAAATACATTATTATTGTTTCAAGTCAATAACATTTGGGATGATTTGTTATACAGGAAAAATATCTGGTGCAATAAGCAAAATAGAAAAGCCAAATAGAGAAAGTATTTGCAGCTCATACCACAAAGGGCTACATTTCTAATATAAAAATTCCTTATATAAATTTCCTTATTATAAAATACAAAAGACCAACAATACAGTAGAAAAATAGGCAATCGATATGAACATGCTATTTATTATAAAGAAAATACAAATAGCTTTTTATAGTATCCAAAAATGTGTCTAATCTCATTCATAATAAGATAAATTCAAATCAAAACTATACTGAGATATTATTTTAACTTATCAGATTGGCAAACATGCTGTGTTGGCAAAGCTATGGGGAAACAGACACTCTCAATAGATTGCAGGTGGAAGTATAATGTGATAGAGAGCAATTCAGTAATAGCTGTGAAAATTAAAAACACATAAGTTGTTTAACTCAGTAATTGTACTTCTAAGAATTTATCCTCTGAATGTACCTCAAAACGAGGTTATGCACTGTAGCAGACACCTCTGCCCAGCATTAGCGAGCTGTAGTGGCACAAGCTTCTTGCCCCCTAATTTGGCTGTGCACTGTCTCAGGAGTCTGACTGAAGCTTTACGTGAGTCAAATGGGCATGTCAGGTAGCAGAGTTGGGCTAGTATTGCTCCTTTGCTAATGGCTGCTACCGAGACTTAAGTCCTAGTCCATGAAGCAGCAGGGCTTGGCTGAGTTCACTTCAAGCCAAGGTCAACTGACTCCAACTAAATTCCTCCCCTCTGAATTAACCTTTTGTTCTCTTCTGAAAAAGATACGCTAGTGCCCCTGCCTGAGATACTGTTATCAGCAGGTGTCCAGAGGCCTGCCCAGCTTCCCTCCTTCCCACACTTGTATGAATAAACACTGGATGTCCTGGTGTCTTTGTCTTGGCTGCCCAGAGGAGCTTAGATCAGCCTAAGACCCAGCTCTCTCTTAAGTCTCTGTCTCTGTATCTTTTGTCCTCTGTTTCCTATCTTGAGGATGTTATACTGTCTCATAGATTGAGACCCATGGCTGGGGTTTTTGGTAACGTCTCTTATAATTCACTGCAGTATTATTTTTAGTAGCAAAAGACTAACAACAATCTACATGCTCATGAAGAAGAGATTAATAAATGAATTATAGACAGGCATATTGTGGAATATTATGCAACTAAGAAAAAGAATAAAGAAGCTGATATATGATATGAAAAACCACCCAAGACATGTTTTAAAATGAAGCAAGTTGCAGAAACTTATACACACACATTTGAATTTGCTCCTGATGTCAGTATGTAGCTCAAAATGTCAGTGCACTCCTAATGTTAATATACATCTCAAAATATAGTTGTCATACACTTAGAAAAATTTATTAGCCCTCTATATACCTTATTTCCTTGAAATTATGTTTAGTTCCTTATGGTCAGGAACTGCTATATTCATTTTTGTAAATGAGAAAAATTGTGTAAAAAGCTTAGTCAGAGCTTAGTACATAGAAAAGACTCATCACATGGTGATTTGTTTGGTTTCCCTCATAGCCTCTAATATAGTGCTTTAGCCTGGTACTTGTTCAAAAAATGATTGCCATTGAAAACAGTTTTTGAAGGCTTGGGAGTGCAGCCCTGTAGTAGAATAGTTGTCTAGTATGTGGAGGCCTTGGGTTCAACCCTCAGCATTGTACAAAAAAAAAAAAAAAAAAAAGACAAAGTAACTGCCCTGAGCAACCATGGGACACATAATAAGAGAGAAAAAAACTTACTGTAGGAAGGAAA